GTGGATAGAGTGTCGGCCTGCGGACTGAAGGGTCCCAGGTTTGATTCCGGTCAAGGGCATGTACCTGGGTTGCGGGCACATCCCCAGTAGGAGATGTGCAGGAGGCAGCTGATCGATGTTTCTCTCTCATCAATGTTTCTAACTCTCTATCCCTCTACCTTCCTCTCTGTAAAAAAATCAATAAAATATATTAAATAAATAAATAAATAAATAAAGGGACCATGGCTTGAAGGTTAAACTTGCAGACTCTGGATCCAGAACACACTGACATGGATTCCAGATCACCTGTTTCCTACTTATTTGAACTTGGATAAGTTTGCATGCTTCAATCAGCTTCAAAAGCAGGGCAAGTGAGAGTATTCACTTCATAGACTGATTATAGAAATTAATTAAAAATTGAATCCATATAAATTGTTTAGAATAGTTTGTGGAATATGAAAGGTGCTGAGAAAAATTAGAACTCTTATTATTTTACAAAAGATGATATTGAGGCTCAAATAATGACAATGACAACATTGACTTCTCCAAGATAGTACAAGTGGTCATTGGTGAAACTCAACCAGAGCCCTAGAACTTCTGAAGATTGTCCATGTCACCAGAAAGCATTCCAGCAACACTCCATTTTTAACGTGCATAAGTATCACACTTTGAAGTAATGGAGATGCTTGGGAAATCTGGCATAGGACTATGCAGTACCAACCCGTGCTGTTCATGCGCAAGAAACTCCAACTGCTGGACTGTCTGCTCAGTGAACTAGCAGAGTCCTTGCAGAATCAGTTAACCACCTCTGCATAAGGTCTGGAGTAGCTGGTTTGGCTGGAGCATGAAAAGTTAAGGAACGGCTGCCCTGGGCGTAAACAAAGCCACATTTTTTGCCTTGTCCCAGGTGCATCCCTTACTGCAACCAAGAGAACTTACTTGTATTATTATTATTCCTTGAACTTGCTGTGCTTCTCATGTCTCTGGAAAATATTCCATTTCATATGCTCCATCTCATATTATTGTTCTGTTTACCTTTAAGAATAGGTTGTAGTTTGTATTTTCCAATCTTCTGAGAAACCTTTCCTTATCTCCTGGCACGGCACAGATAGCCCAGTTTTCTGTTCAGAGAGAAGCTCCCTCCATCAAAGCACTTGTGAGCTTTATAATCCCATTATAATCACGGGATTCCTGGTCTCTATTTACCATTACACTAAGGATACCATATTTGTTTTAGTCTGGGTGTGTGCAATACTTACCATATAGCCTGGTGTGTAACTATTTACTGACTAACTGGAAGACTGACTAGAGAAGAAAGAAAGGGAAAGGAAAGGATAATAACATGTGAATAATAAAAAAAGAGAACCTCAGAGTCTTAGCATCCAATCATTAGGCACATTATTTCACCTGGCTTATAATTTAACTGGCCAGAGAAAGGAAAGATGGAATAAGTGGTAAGCGAAAAAAGTGATTTTGTGTGATATTAGTCAGTTAATAAAGCTCCGAGTTGTTCTGCCTGGATCCATAAAATTAAAAAGGAGAGAAAATTTCACCACCAGCTGTCTTGCCTGATTTGCATGTGTTCAAATCTTCAAAGTATTCCTTTTGATTCCTTTAATCAATAGCTATTTTAGAAAGTTCTTCATTACTTCCTAATTGTCAAAATCCATTTCATTCATTTTTCCTTATTAGAAGGAGATTTTTCAAATGAGTTAAGTAGATCAGCAATTTTAGAATCATTATTAACTTCAAGCTTTTCATTCAGTTATTAGCATGTCCCTTCTCTCTCTAGGACGAGATTCTTTTCTTCATTTTTAAAAGGCCATCTGTTTCATTTTACAGACTTCTTTTTTCCCTGTGTCTCAAATAAAGTCAACTTTACCCTATACTAAGAGCAATCCATGTTTACAATAACTGGTCCTCAGCTCTTTAATTTCTCGGATCTCTGGTTTTGGATGAAGATGCAAGTGATTCCCTATTATGTTAGCATGCCAAAAAAAATAATAATTAGCATTCATCTAGATTTTGATATGTCCGAACCAAATAAACTGGTAAAGCCATTATCATGGCCCACAAAACATTTTACAAATAATTTAAACAAATGTTGAACATATATTCACTGATAACCCCAACAATCTCACTGCTAGGACTCTGAATCACAGACATAGAAGCACCACATTATTGCACCCTGATTGTTGTACCAGTGAACTGGAAACAAAATGCCCACCAATAAATGGGCGATAACAATGTATGGTGCCTCAATACCATGGAATATGATGCAGCTATACATTTGATTCCATGAGTCCTGTGAAACATAAAAGGGTATTCAGCAGGTTGTTAAAGGGGAGGAGAGGGAAAAGGAAGTTAGAGAGGAAGAGGACAGAAGAGGAGGGTAAGAAAAAAAGTGAGGTATTCATGACAAAACAGTGTATAGAAGGTAATCTCATGTAAAATTGCTTATGTGTGTATGAATATAAATAAACATATACAAAAGCAAGCTACATGGTTACTGAGGGAGATAGGACTGTGCATTTTTACTTTCTTATACTCATTACTATCAATTTTTTATATTTGAATTTTTTATTTGAATTATTTTCTATCACTTGAATTATTATTTATATAATGTGAAAAACAGCATTGGATAACAGACATGATAGGTAGCATCTCCAGACTACAATCAACCTGCTTGATAGAGTATGTGTCCTAACAATTATATTCTTTTTAAAAACAACCTCTGCTGATTTTCATTTTTAATGCACATTCATGACTCGGATAATGTTATTCCTTCTTAACTGGGTTTTCCAACTGCCATATATTTGATTTCCTAGGAAATCTCCAAAATTCCTCCATTACATACTTTGTAATATCTCATTTTGCTGGATGAAATGTGATACCTTGTAGGAAATGCCTGAATTCCTACTTCAGGATGTATATCCAGCAGGACTTATCCATTTTTCTTTTAAAATTCAACAGAAGGCCCATGGTGACAAAAATAAAAAACCGTCAAAGTCTAAAGATAAACACACTTGGACAACAATACTAAAAAATGCACTGCATACTCCTGAGAGGTATTTTGTATAGCTGATCTATCATGACTCCTAGGACTTTGGAAAGTACAAACAAACTTGTGGAAAAGACAAGCTGATTCTGCCTATGTTTGAAATAACCCAGTATTTTCACCAACCCAAAATTGAAGCCTATGAAGTTTAGCTACTTCAATTTCAGAAAGCACTTTAACGACTTGGTATATAAAAGTTCTGAAGAAATTTGAATAATCAAAATATTCAAATACTGATGTAGAAAATCAAGAATACATTAGTCTAGGTATAATTTCTAGGCCATTATCATTACCATGTGTTTCTTTAATTATCTTTCCCCTCGGGAACTTGATGTTTTGAAAGATGTGCTCTACCAAAACCAATGAATTACTAAAGTAATAATTTTTTTTAAAGTCTAATGAATCAATGGCATGTGTAATTGCCCATCACAGCTACTGAGCAAGATGAGGAAACCAGTGCTGCACATGTAGTTGACACAATTTATTTAGAGGCAAATAATTTGTGGTCATGGATCAATGTATTATTTCTGTTAGCTTCTTAAAAATAATGGGAACAGTTGAAGACACACCCTAGAGCTCAACGTGTCCACTGGCCTTTGTCTCAGGATTGGAATTGCACAGTCACAGAATAAATTGAGGTTAAAAATCAGATATATCTTAATTCACAAATGTGTGGGTTTTTGTTTTTGTTTGTTTAAGCAAAGGATTAATTTACAAGAAGAATAGCTGTGAGGTGACCCATCCAAATTTTGAGCCTTAACCTAACGCCACGGGCAGAGGAGACAAATGGACAGGAGCGATGAGCTTTCAGCAACCTTTCAATTTCACTTACAAAGACTCAAGTAAGGAACAAGAGAAGGCAACCCTCTCAACAAAGGATAATGAATACAGTATTTTCATTAGCTCTTTACACCTATTTCTTTAACTTCTCTATAATACCAGTTTTGTTTTGTTTGTCCTGCCCGGAAAAGATAAATGCAGATGCATTCAGATTCTAGAATCTGGTGACTAGAATCAGACAACTAAGTCAAAACAAATCCTTTTGGAAGCACTGGCTTTCATGGCAGATGCAGGAAAGGATAAATCATTGACCATCATGAAATTTTCCTGCACAAGAAAAATGCCCGTGTCCAACATTGACAATTGATGACGTTCCGACCTTGTGGACTTTGGTTATCAAGTTTTGAAAATTTGAGAGTCAGGCAAGTGTTTTTCTTTTTTTAAAATAAAGGGAACAAAAGTAGTAAATATCACATCACACTGAATTTGCATTAACCCCACTCGGTTCATTCACAAACCACAGAGATCTTACAGAAAAGTACTGCCCCAGCACTTTCAACCCATGGCTCCATTAAAGATTTAACATCTGAGGTTAGGATGGGGTTTTCTTATTAAGCTGCCATTTCCTTCATAAAACAGACCATTTTGTACTTACTGCAACCTTTTGAACTCTTACAGTGAATAATTAAACCTATACTGCAAAGCATAATTTGTGATGTTGAATATCCTGTAGGTTGTAGGTTTTTGCTTAGTGGCTCATTTTAAATGCTCACCGATCAATCCCCAGAGGGACAATCCGGCCATTCGTCTGAATCGACAAAATTGGCTGGTGGACCCTGCAAGCAAAGCAGACAACTCCCAATCATAATACAGACCGTCTTCAACTTAGGATGGTTCGACCTGAAATTTTTTTCCACTTTACAAAAGTGCAAAAAGCAATACCCATTCAGCAGAAACCGAACTTAGAATTTTGAAGTTTGATCTTTTCTTGAGCTAGCGACGTGTGGTATGATACTCCCTTGCAATGTTGGGCAGCAGCAGCAAGCCATGCACACTCACCAGGGTAGACAACCCATACTTACAGTGTAGTCCTGAATGCATTTTCCACTTAGGAGGGTTTATTGGAACATAATTCCATCATAAATCAAGGAGCATCTGTAAAATGGTCTTTTTGGTGACTCACCATATTGACAGTGGGGTCCCTGAAAACCCTCGGAACACCGGCACAGCTGGGCTTCACTCTCTGAGCATCTCCTTCCATGGAAACACGTTGCTACCGCAGAGACAGCTAAAAGAAAGGTAGATGAGGGCAGATGAAGAATGGGGTTGAGGAAAAGAAAGGAAATCCTCAATGTAAGCATCAAGTTGCTAATATAAATATAATAGAAGGCGGGGGAGAGGGCGGGTGGGAATGATTAACCCGGGAACTTACATGCATATATGCATAGCCCTTGGACAAAGACAATAGAGTGGCAAAGGCCTTCGGGGGCAGGTGCTGGGCAGAGGGAGTCAATGGGGAAAGACAAAGGGGACATCTGTAATACTTTCAACAATAAAGAGAGATTTAAAGTAAATAAATAATAAGTAAATACAATTTAGAAATTTCCACCCGCCCCTCCATAGCAAGATGAACCAGTTTTCATTGCAAGTTAAGGCCTTGCTCCCTACAGCCTGTAGCACTCGGTATGTGGCCTCACCTCGAAGCTTGTAGAAATGCAGAATCTCAGGCCTCACCCCAGACCTACTGAACCAGAATCCACATTTTAAAAAGATACGAGGTGATGTCTACCCTAGCTGGTTTGGCTCAGTGGATGGAGCATCGGCCTGTGGACTGAGGGGTCCCAGATTCGATTTTGGTCAGGGGCACATGCCCGCATTGCAGGCTCGATCCCCAGTGTGGGGCATGGAGGAGGCAGCCAATCAATGATTCTCTCTCATCACTGATGTTTCTATCTCTCTCTTCCTCTCCCTTCATCTCTGAAATAAAATAAAAAATTAAATAAATAAATAAAAATAAAAAGATACGAGGTGATGTGAATTCAAGTTTGAGTATCACTAATGTAAAGAAACTCTATTAAGATAAAAAGAGTCTAAAAATAAAGCAAGGAATACCAATACTTCCTGAGGCAAAGGACTGTGATAGGTATCATATAACAGTTTAAAGAGTTCATCCTACAGTCATTAATTTCCAGGAGTTTATAAAATAGAGTGACATCGTGGGCAGATGCCTGTCACTGAGCTAGACCAGTTAGCTGCAGTGGCCTAGCACTGCATGCAAATACAGTGACCGCTAACACTGAGCCTGCTTAACATGGGAAGCCTGAAGCCCCTCACTAAGATATTTGAGAGCAGAAAGCACAGTGGGGAAGGAAGCAGAATGCTGACAAACTCCCTAAGGTACAGGGTAGCAGGAGAGATCAATTATTGTGCTGTGGTGCTGCATTGATTGCAGCACGCTGAAGCATTCTAAGTGACTTTGAAATAACCAGAAACACATAGGTAAATGGAGCCATTTCTCCTGGCAAGATTGGGAGACATAATGCCACTAGTTCTGCTGCTTGCATGCTGTCAAACATGCTGGAAGGTTCTGGGATACTTTCCCCACACGTTTGTGCAAGGACTGCATAGCTCATCTTAAAAAGTAAACTGCCTGCAGAGTTCCGCAATTAATCATGACATGTGCAGGTTGAGAAATCCCATTTAGATTTAGTACGGTGATTTCCCTCCGGACTTCTGAATCCACTGTGGATTACAAATTTGATGATATGGGAAAGGGGCAAATGGAAAAGGGTGATGGAAGTCAAGGTGTAACTGGCTGGCTTTAAATAAGCTGTCTTTTAAATAAAGAGACAGAATGTAAAGCGGCAGTTCTACGGGATTTGAGTTCTGACCTATCATTAGAAACGCTTAACAGAAAAGCTTTTTGTGCATTTTTGCACATGTCACGTGTGCTTTTTCAGCCCAAAGAGATGCTCCAAATCTGTGGTGATTCTAAAGATGCCTAACCCTTGACAGGCATGATATGATTAAAGCCCCAAGCAGAGTGAAACCATTACTTCAAGTGACAGAGAGTTAGACAGGAAGAATTATAACTTACAACGTAAGCAGCCAGGTTCATCGTCCTGCCGGCGCCAACCAGGGCAGCACCTGTAGACGGTCTGCTGCTCCATGCTGTATGCCTGTCTGTACACGGTGTAGTACCGGGTCCTATAGAACACAGGGATCTAGATCATACTTCTTCTTATGGCAAAGCTGTCATCTTAAGCCCACCAAAAATTCTCCCTCCAACCCCAATCCTGTCATTTATACACACAAAATACATGTATAATATTTACATGTATTATACACACATGCACATGTGTGTGCATACAATAGAAACCCTCATGCCCCAGGGTATAAACTATTCTAAGGTCACTCAAGCTATCAAAAATGAAACCCAAAATTATGAAATGCATAATGAAATTGTGATAGATAATAAGGCACATGCTTTTTCAACTTGACAATGAAGGCCCCTCATAGACTGGTCCCCCTATAGCATGCATTCTCAACACTGGTGATAGCAGCAAGGGGGCAACAATTGATTCTTAGATGGAAAAATATCTTAGCTAATACACAGGTCCTATAAAGGACCATAGTACACAAACAAATAAAGTACACCTGTGCTACCAAAAAACTCCATGAAAGAGGGGGATGATTACAAAAAAAAATTTTTTTAATTACAAAGGCTCCTTAGGAGAACAATAATGTACAAAGGTTAAAAACACTAAACTATAGCTATTCATGCTGACCTCTTTTTTATTATTAAATTTATTGGGATGACATTGGTCCACATGAACATATAGTTTTCAGGTGTGGGTTTCCATGTTATAATCTCTGGTGTCCTAATATATGGCGACAGGAGAAGATTTGACTTTGGGTGGTGAGCACATCGAGCTGACCTCTTCATACACTACAATACCAAACACCTCTAAACTGGCTAATTTCTTTTCTATCAAATCCATATCATATTTATTCTTTATGTCAAAAGTATAACATATTCTCTCCCCTTTATTAACCTATCCCCAAGTCCCCTTCATTACTCAGAGCCAATTTCAAGTTACACTTCCTCCAACTTCTCTTTCCCCACTTTCCCAAATGCATATTGCTCTCTCAAAAATAGGACTAAGTGGCCATACCACTTTTTGTGACAGTTACTCACCATCTTGTAGTGTAACCTAATATTTTGTATGTGTACTTCTCTAATAGGGATATAAGTATAGGTTTGCATACTTGTATATCAAAAAACAAAAAGGGCCGAAACCGGTTTGGCTCAGTGGATAGAGCGTCGGCCTGTGGACTGAGGGGTCCCGGGTTCGATTCCGGTCAAGGGCATGTACCTGGGTTGCGGGCACTTCCCCAGTGGGGGATGTGCAGGAGGCAGCTGATCGATGTTTCTCTCTCATCGATGTTTCTAACTCTCTATCTCTCTCCCTTCTCTCTGTAAAAAATCAATAAAATATATTAAAAAAAAAAAAAGGGAAATTAGTTGGCAGAGATACCAAAACACTGCCTCAACTCTAAAGCCAATGTCATAAATATTTACTGAATGGAGAAATGTATAAAATGGGTACCAAGCAGCATGACACATGTATTAAATATACCATACCATGCCTGGTATTATCTTTTTTTCTAACTTTACACACTGATGCACACAGAAATATAGGAACTTTGCCCAGGGCCATACAGCTGATAAGAGCCAGGGGAAGTTTTCCAATTTAAATTTCACTTAAAGATCCTAAGCATAGAGCTAAAAAAGACTATACATATAAAAGTTAAGCACACACACACAGAGACATGAGTGTGTACATACAATGTATATGTAAATATCCATAATAATAAAATATTTAGTCTTACAATATTTTATTTAGTCCTATATTATCAGTGTTCTGATATTTCTACACAACAGCAAATCCAGTTATGTAAAAATGTCCTCAACTTTCCTTTGATAGTAGCAATAACAATAATAATACATTTATTAATCTGAAGCCATACTTTTTTAAAACTCTGAATTCTGACTCAGTTGATCCATTTACCTAAAACACCCCATTAACAACTATTTGTATTAAGGGGTACCTAGATGTTTTGTAAAACTATCTTAAAACTTTTTTTTTCAAAAGTCCATAGGAAAACTTTATGCATAGAAAACACTGTACTGTACTTGCTTTTTTTCTCCTCTCCCAACCTGCCTAGTTAATCCTAATTCAAAGGCCATACTAAAGTCAAAGGAGCTCTGGGTTTCAAAGTGTGAGACGAGAACCCAGGGCAGATCAGACAGTCTTCACAGCCATGGGCACCCCAGATCCAAGTCTTGCTAAATGTAGCAAACCCACACAATATTCCTTGTTTCCGTCGGTCTTCTGATCTTCAGCTTTCAATAGTGTCACGTCATGTGGTAAAATTCATAGCATCGAACCCAAAGGACCTCATAGGTAAATTAGGCCAAAGTAGATTAATAATAGATCCTGTCTCTGAAGGAAAATATAGAACTCTGCAAGTTCAGATTCATATCTTGTGTTTGCTTACTTCAGTATATAATGATTTTCTACAATGTATTGGGGGAAATTTTTAGATGCAGGTGAGGCTTTTGATTTTGATTTTTAGTGTCAAAGGGAGTAGTGGAAGCACCGTTACCTTCTTTCATAACCCACACACCATCTCCGGCCGGCACAGCCCTGTTTCCAGAGCTTGACGGTGTGTGTGAATGCTCGGACACATGGGCGTGGAAGGCCCACCACGGTCAGCTGCTGCTCTTCACACACATTAGGCCTTGAAAAAAAAAAGTGGTAATGTGATAAAAAATACATTGTTTCTCAATGTTTTATACATGAATCATTCATTCCTCCACTTTCCACAAAAAGCATGTGGTGACTTACATCAGTACATAAAGTAAGAGAGAAAAACACAGGCAATAAAAATACAGCCAATATAAAAAAAATTCAGGCCTAGGAAAAAGAAAAATCAGAATAGATTTTTAAAATAAAGAGAAACTCAGAAGATAAATATAAAAGCCATAAGTTTCCATGTGCTAAAAAAAAAAAAAAAGAGTTGCAAATTAATTCTGAGCTATTCAGTAGACAAAAGTAAAAAACAACCGGAACTGCACACTACCCATGATTGCATCCACAATGTCCATGAAGAAAAGGCAGGCTGATTCATGAAGAGAAGTTACATTTTTCCTAGAAATTACTTCTGAACAGTAATTGCCATCGTATTTAGTTAGTTCAGCTTCACACACAATGCCTGTTTCAACACAAATATTCTGCAACCAGTACCATTATATTAGTATTTCCTTACAGGAAGTGCATACAAATTTACAGGATTAGACACATGATCCTTTTTTCTTTTTTCTTTTTTTTCTTAAATATATTTTATTGATTTTTTACAGAGAGGAAGGGAGAGGGATAGAGAGTTAGAAACATCAATGAGAGAGAAACATCGACCAGCTGCCTCTTGCATACCTCCTACTGGGGATGTGCCCGCAACCAAGGTACATGCCCTTGACCAGAATCGAACCTAGAACCTTTCAGTCTGCAGGCCAACACTCTATCCATTGAGCCAAACCGGTTTGGCTAGACACATGATCTTTAACTTTTAAATGTATAGAGCTAGATACACTGATCACCCGAAGTGTTATAAAAGCAAGCTGGCCCGACCACTTATATTCTCCATGATTCACAGCCACCTGCATGCCAGGTACTGACCTCACTGGAGTCAGACTTTGATGGTTTTTCTTGCTATCAAGAAACACAGTTAGCTCAGTCTCCATACTCATGATCTGCTGAAAATAGAAATGCTCTCTGATTCAGGAGTTTGAGCTGGTTCCCAAATAACTCTGTGAACTTATCCAATGGCAGAACAATAATAATGATGAAACCTCTAATAGCAATCCCCACACTGAAAGCAGTTTCATCTATGTCACCTACATCCTAGATCACCTTTCTGTGATCACTTCTTTATGTGGCTCTGACTAAATCTCACCAGCTGATCTCTACACAGTCCAATTCTCACTTCCAGATATATATATATATATTATATATAGTGATTGTTTGGACTGTTAATGTCACCTAAATTGAAAAAAAGAATGAATGTTGAACTTTAAGAGTTTGCACAATGCACTTTATATTTAAGCAAATACTGTAATTCTACATAATAAAAGGCTAATATGCAAATTGACTAACCCACAGAACAACCAGTTGCTATGACATACACTGACCACTTGGGGGCAAACACTCAATGCAAGAGCTGCCCCCTGGTGGTCAGTGTGCTTCCACAGTGGGAGCACCGCTCAGCCAGAAGGCGGGCTCACAGCTGGCGAGTGCAGTGGCGGTGGCAGGAGCCTCTCCTGCCTCTGCGGCAGTGTTAAGAATGTTTAAGCTTAGGCGAACCTAAGCCATCAGTCAGACATTCCCTGAGGGCTTCTGGACTGCGAAAGGGCGCAGCCCGGGCTGAGGGACACCCCTCTCCTCCAGAGCACAAATTTCATGCACTGAGCCTCTAGTAAAATAATAAATGTAAAAACTGCACGTAAGTCAAGCATCCATAAAATCTTTAAGAATTGGGTCTAAAGAAAACATTAAGCTATTAAAAATTCCATATTAGATTCTCTGCCTATACCTATACTTTTAGTGGGCTTACATGCTTTTTTGTGAGCCAACTAGCCCCAGTTAGAATGAGTTTACAGCACCTTTGCTTTTTCAGTCAATAGTTCCAAAACTTACACTGATCCAGCCTTGAGCTCCATTTTGCAATCTATTCTTCACTTATTATTCCATCCACCCATCCACCCACCCATCTATCCATGAACTCATAAACTGTCACCTACATAAGACAGAAGCAGCACAACCCTTCCTTACCGCCCCCCCCCCCCCAAGGACTTGAATGTAAGCCATTTATTTGGGAGTGATGAAATCAGACTGGGAAGGAGAATTAGCCAACAATAAAAGAATTAGCCCTCATTCATTCGTTGAGGGCTACTTTCTTTCTAGCATTTCAGGCTGAAGCATGGGTAGGCAGTGTTAGCCTCCAAAAGATGAAGTCTTCAGGCAAAGAAAGGCCAATGCTGGCTGCTGAAAGCCTGGCAGGTATGCGGAGGGAAAGGGCAGGGGCATGGGCGCTGTTGGACAGTTTCCACTGCAGGTGGTACAAACATAAGAAAGTCCATATTCACTTAGCATTGACAACCTACAGACAAGAGAGAGAGAAAATGAAGGCACTGAATGCATATAAAATGCTAAGAAGAAGCAATGAGGAGGCCCAAATGGAGAGAGGGGAGGCTTACTAAGATTCATTGATTAGGAAAGTCCTCACTGAAGAGGTGACACTGTGACCTGAAAGGGTCAAGAGAAGCCACCCATGGAAAAGCCAGGGGATGCCATTCAGGTGGAAGAAATAGAATGAGGCTCTGAAGCGGGGAAACGCTTGGCCTCCAGAGAGTCTGAAAGGCCAAACTGGCTCAAATGATGAGATGGTTGGTTGGGCAGAAAGGGCTTCTTGGGTGAGGAGTGTTGATTTTATTCTCAGGACACTGGAAACCACAGAGGTTTTTTAGAATTCTGATTTCTGGCCTCATTTCCTACAGCCAGGACCTGGAGATGACCTTGTGATACTCTCTCTCTGACACCATCTTGAAATGACTTAGGTTAAATCTGCTCCTGGACATTACAAGAAATAGCCCAGCCCCGTCCAGCCTGGCTTCCAGGACCCTAAAGTCCTCCATTGCCCCCTTGGGTTTTCCTGATTCCTGCAGAGAAAGAAGTCCTCAAGGGAAACCTGTACCTTCAGAGAAACCTGAAGCCAGCAGCACTGATGGACATGGAAAGGCACAGCACAAATTTCAGGCATTACAAGAGGAGTGTACAAGACTAACGTGTCTAGAAAAGTATCTGTAATCCAGATCATCACCATGTAATTTCTCTGATAACATCATGAGATGTTAATGTGACTTCAGAATGGCACAAATTATATTTACTCATCCTAATTAATGAGCAACATAGTTTAGATTGAAGTAAGTTTTCATTTTAGGTTAACTCATCCTAGGGAATGTTTAAGCACATTTGGATAAATAAAGGCAGTTGCTTGATTATTCTGCAGGTGTCCTAAATATATTTTAATAAAGAAATCAATCCCCTTTCTTAACTATTAAAACTATAAATGCTAGTAGTAAAAAAGCCTGAAAAATGGGTAAATACAGAAAATCAAGGTTGGCCCCAAAATGCTCCCAGATACAACCACTGCTAATAATAGCTTAATGTATTCAAATCCAATATTTGGGGGGGGGCACAGAAATATATTTTTGCATAAATAAAATCACACTCTACTTACTATCATTTAAATTATGAGACAAGCCTTTTTAAAATTTAGGTAAAATTGGAATATAGCATTCCATAGGTGTTCAACATTGTTTTTATGCTGTTTGTTCATTTATTTCGGGTTATCTTTAGATTCCACATATGAGTGAAATCAGACAGTATTTGTTTCCTCCATTTGACTTATTTCACTTAGCATGATACCTTCAAGGTCCATCCATGTTGTGACAGGTGACAAAATGTCCTTTTTTATGGTTGAATAGTATTCAGTTTCATATGTACGTATCCCACATCTTCTTTATTCATTCATTTATAGACAGACACAGGCTTCTTTTATATCTTGGCTATCATAAATAATACTACAAGGAACATAGGAATGGACATACCTTTTCTAATTGGTGGTTTGGCATTCTTCAGATAAATACCAAGAAGTGAATGGCTGGATCATACAGTAGTTCTGTTCCTAACTTGTTTAGTAATCTCCACACTGTTTTCCATAGTGGCTGCACCATTTACATAACCAACAGTGGAGGAGGGTTCCTTTCTCTCCATATCCTCACTGGCACTATAACAAGTGCTGGTTTGTTTTTTACAATATACAAAATAAATCTAGTGTGTTTTTAACCTAGCAAACAACATGGTATGAATATTTTCCATTTTGAAATACATAGAATTACTTTAACTCTTTTGTTTTCTTTCCAGATTATGGAGTTATCAGAATATTATAACAAATTAATTTAGTCAAGAGCCTACTGATAGACATTTCATTTTTTCTAATAGTCTTTGACTATAGACTCTGATGTCAGCCCTCCTATATAAACAACAGAATTACAGAATTTTTTCTTCTAAGATTTTCTTATGAAATATTTGTTTCCTCTGAGTCCTTTCAGTTCGGGGTGTTTGTTTGTTTGTTTGTTTGTTTGTTTGTTTGTTTTTAGCCTCTCTCATCCATGTTTTAGGCTTTCTCAAGAATCAGGTTATCATTGCCTGTTTATACTTAAGCAGGAGGCACTAGAAGCTGATTGGAAGCTTTGTGTGATAGAAAGAGCTGATAATCGGTGGGCTCTCTGTCAGGTGATTGGGATGATTTTTTTTTTTTCTTTTTTGAGAAGCTCCTCCATGTCAGTGTACAGAAATCTGGTTTCTAGGGCCATTCAGGTTTTTCAGAAAAATATCCCCAATCTGCTGCCTGGGGAAGCACACACCTTGTGGCTAGTGCTTGGGGACCAGGTGGGGGGAAGGGAGCCCTGCTGTTTTCAGCCATATGCCCCCTTAGGCAGTGCCAGTCTGCACCCCTTCTGAAGCTTCTCTGCTTCTTGTTCTCCAGAAGAAAACATCAGCGCTCTCTCTCTCTCTCTCTCTCTCTCTCTCTCTCTCTCTCTCTCCCTCCCTCCCTCCCTCCCTCCTGAGAGTGCAGCAGGGCTATTTCTTTGTCCAGCTCTGCAGTTTGGAGGAAGAGAT